AACACCAAGCCCCTGCCTTACGATTAGAAAGTGATCAGCATCATGTGCTGTAACTGCGAACCTTACACATTACTGGGAGATTCTAATTATTTTCCTATCTTCTTCCTCCACTTTCCTGTAGCTCTCAGCTCAGTAACAATATCACCTCCTGCAGTAAACCCTCCCTGACCCCCCCAGGCTGGGCGGGGCACCGCCTTTCATTCCTCCAAGATCCCTGGACTCCCTCACCCCATTACCTGCTCACTTTGGGTTATCAATGTCAGAAATGGGTGTGGTGCCCTAACCGGTTTGGCTCAGTGGGTAGAGCGTCGGCCTGCGGACTGAAGAGTCCCGGGTTCGATTCCGGTCAAGGGCATGTACCTTGGTTGCGGGCACATCCCCAGTGGGGAGTGTGCAGGAGGCAGCTGATCGATGTTTCTCTCTCATCAATGTTTCTAGCTCTCTATCCCTCTCCCTTCCTCTCTGTAAAAAATCAATAAAATATATTTTAAAAAGAAGAAATGGGTGTGGTGTGCCTGGCCCTGGGCAAACAAGCCCTGGGCTGTCCTGGTCATTGCTGTTTCCTCCAGGGGGTGATTGCTGAGTGAAGAACGAAGCTCTGGGTGCAGAAGGTGAATGACTTACCTTTGGGGATCAACACAAAGGCAAGAAGGAACCTTAGAAAACTAAGGTGCCCAGTTCTCCCTCTTACATTTAATGGTAGTAATAATGATTCTGTGATATTACAGATCCAGGGACCAATGAACATGCTGATTATGTCACCCAGACTGGGGGCAGACTGAGATTTTTCTGGGCCTCTTTTTCGAAAAATATTTGTATTGATTTTTAGAGAGAGTGGAAGGAAGAGGTAGAGAGAAACATCGCTGTGAAAGCGAAACATCCATCGGCTGCCTCCTGCGCGACCCCTGTGGGGGATCAAACCCACGATCCAGGCATTGCCCTGACCGGGAATCGCACTGGCAAACGCAGCGCACAGTACGATGCCCAACCAACTGAGCCACAGCGGGCCGGCAGGCCTCTCTTTTAGAAGTACAAAAAGTTATAGAAACAAATTGAAATAGAGGACCACAGAAAGCCCAGGCAAGAGAGGGGCTTTGAAACTTAATCTTCTTCAGTTTCACTGTAACCCCATCTCTGCTCTCAGCTCTAGATAACAAATGCCCTGGGCTGTTTTCCCTCTCACAGATAGCTGAGTCCCGACCCGTGGAAGCATGCACTAGAGCAGTGGTTCTCAACCTTCTGGCCCTTTAAATACAGCTCCTCATGTTGTGACCCAACCATAAAATTATTTTCGCTGCTACTTCATCACGGTCATGTTGCTACTGTGATGAATCGTCATGTCAATATCTGATAGACAGGATGGTCTTAGGCGACCCCTGTGAAAGGGTCGTTTGACCGCCAAAGGGGTCGCGACCCACAGGTTGAGAACCACCGCACTAGAGGCTCTCAGCTGGACTGTGACCTTAGGTCGGAGCCCTGCAAAGCCCTCCCACCGTGCCGGCTGAGTGACCAAATCAATTCTTCCAGTCCTTCTAACTGGTAAATAAATCACAGGCCAGATCCTCTCTGCCCTCCGCTAGGGGACGCCCAACACCAACCAGAAGCTGTGATTTCAAGTTCTCAGGGAGAAGGAGCCTGGGTCCCTGAACTTCTGATTTCCTCAGAAGAGGTTGGGGGTCTGGACTCCTGCGTCTGAGGGAGAAATCTGGGGTCCCCGACTCTTGAGTTCTAAGGGAGGAGGAGTCTGGGGGCCTGGACTCTGGGGTCCTGGGGGGAGCAGGACTGGGGTAGGAGCCTGAGAAAGGAAGGAGGGGTCTGGAAAGCGCACCAGGATTGGTTGGAAGCAGAACTGGCCCGGGCAGAGGTTTGGTTTGGCGTGAGTCCGTGAGAAAGAAGTGGACAGAGCAGGGATTGTTCCTCCAGGGTCCCCCCTCCCCAGCACCCCCCTAGGTTTGGCAGCCTCAGCTCTTCCCAGGCCCTGGGGACGTAGGGACATTTCCCACCACCCCTCCCAAGGCCCCTGCTTTCCACTAGGCTCACAGCTGCCCAGCCTCAGGACCTGGGAAAACGGCCCCAACCGTGCCGAAAGGCTGGCCGAGGTTAATGCCGGGCAGATGAGGAGAAATACAAGCCCTGTGTCCTCCGAGGCCGACAGTCCCATCCCCTCGGTTTGGGGGCCCAGGACTAACCCCTGTTCCCTCAGAATCCAGGAGTCCAGGTGCCTGCACACCCTGTGCTTCCGGCCTGCTCTCCCCACTGCCCAGAGACCCTCTCCCAGTCACTAACCACCCCACCCGGACCTGGGGGCCACGGGACTGCCCCCGTCCCTCCCCCACTCTCCAGCAACCACAGCTCCACCCACACTGCAGTGGTGATGCATCACCCTGCGACCACCCCAAGAGGCCCACCCTGCTCGGAATTCACTACTGATCCCAGGTGGCCACACCCGGGCCCGATACCCTCCCCTTTCTCGCCTTTTCCTCTCGCCATATTGCCCTCTGAAGTTCTCTTCGCCCCTGGTTGGCTTGCTCATCCTCGGCCCAAGGCTTCCCCCCAGCCTCTCTGTGTGTGGCCTCAGGATGGAACGGAGCTACTGGCCCCGAGTAGAAATTCAGGAAATGTTATGACTGTTGCCAATAAGAAGAGAACAACTTGCCTGGTTGGTGGGGATCTGTGGTTGACTGTTGACCTATGAACCAGGAGGTCACAGTTCATTCAGTTCCCGGTCAGGGCACATGCCTGGGGTTGTGGGCTTGATCCCCAGTAGCGGGTGTGCAGGAGGCAGCCAACCCATCATTCTCTCTCATCATTGATGTTTCTCTCTCCCTTTCTCTTCCTCGCTGAAATTAATTTTTAAAAATATTTTTTTAAAAAGAAAAAGAAGAGCCCTAACCGGTTTGGCTCAGTGGATAGAGTGTCAGCCTGCAGACTGGAGGGTCTCAGGTTGGATTCCAGTCAAGGGCATGTACCTTAGTTGAGGGCACATCCCCAGTAGGGGGTGTGCAGGAGGCAGCTGATCGATGTTTCTAACTATCTTTCTTCCTTTCTCTCTGTAAAAAATCAATAAAATATTTTAAAAAAGAAAACTATAAATAAAAAAAGAAGAAAAACACTCTTTTGATGCCACTTCTCTCCAGTTGCTCCACATTTGTCTTCGTCTACTTAAAGAATTCCTTGACAAGTTGTAAAAATTCTTTCCAAATTTTCCCTTTGAAACCACTCCAAAGAGAAGTTTGACTTTATGAAGCCACTGAAACTACTCTTCATGCAATCAACAGTGGCCTCAGTGTTGCTATGTCAATGATCAGTTGTCAGTCCTCACCTTACTTGTTGCATCAGCAGCATTGTAGACTGTTATTCACTCTTGTTGCCTCATAACACATTTTCCATTGGGTTCCTTTTTTTTTTTTTTTTTACCTTTC